GACTTCTTTATGGTCTTTGAATACTACTCGTTGTTCAAGATGTCAAACATAAGTTGTATTCTACAGCAAAATGTTGTAAACCCGAGTGTGGTGCGTTAGGAGCAAAACGGTTGCGTAGGCGTTGAGAGGGGCGTCGCGCGCGATGGAATGTAGCAGGATGCAGCAGTAGGTAAGAAATACAAGAACAGAAGTACTAATAGTAGAATTATGCATAAAATAATGATCGCATATCGATTGAGCTGTATGAAGATCGCTAGAACTGTAATAACGGCGAATGAGTGGTCCGCGACAGCCGCGTGCGGCGAATCGATTACCCAAAGATCGTTCCTAACGCCCGTCTCCCTGACCCTGACCTAAAAAAATAGTTGGTACACAAAAGCCTTCAAATAAGCGGCGATGGATACTACCACCCCCTGCATAAACAGTTTTTAAAATGTACTACATAGTGCAATGTATAAACAAAAACAAAGTATATAAGCAAAAGCACTTAGCAACACTCTATTCATTCAACATCCTACGTCTGTCTCAACATGATCGCCGCAAGATCTCAACCGAAGGAGGACACGTGGGCGTTCCAAAAAATTGGAACTGCATTCCCTCCAAATCCTGTGAAAGTATGTGGTTTCGAAAGACGTGCCAAATAGGAAAGTTTTCAGCAAAGCGATTATTTCAGTGCCTTGGACAACAGAACATGTACGTGGCCCTGTGGTACAAGCATGGAAAGCCAATCCACGGGCGGTCGTGGAATAACGGAGGCGTTGTCGAGTGCTCATTCCCTTATAAAAAAGTCGAATTGAGTACAGCTCGGCAACTTGAAGGGAATATCCAGGTTTGGGAATGTTACCTGCTCATTCACCCGAGCTGAGTCCCAAATATTCTTGTTAAGGTGCTTCAATACACAGGAGATCATAACAGCCAAGGATTCTGGTATGAATGGATTCGATATGGAGATAGACTTGAGAAATCAGAAGGTCGTGAACTTGTACACTGTGGAGATTCCTTTCCTATTCTATGGAAGGACCGTCCAGAGGTACGTCTTAAATTAATAGGAAGGATGGGGAAGCGGTCACCGATCGGCTACTATGCCATCAAAGAAACCTGACATAAGAAGGCCCGTTCAAAATGTATGGCTGGGGTGTGGTGCAGTAGGAACGAAATTTTCGTGCCGCGGCGAGAGAGGCGTCGCGCGCGAAGGAATGTAGCAGAATGCAGCAGCAAGTAAGAAATACAGGAACAAAATAACTAACAGTAAAATCATGCCCAAAGTAATAATCGCATAGCGATTGAGCTGTATAAAGAACGCTGGAACTGTTATAATCAGGCAGATGGTCCGCAACAGCCGCGGGCGGCGGATCGATTACACAAAAGCGTTCCTACCGCCCATCTCCCGGTATAGCTGTTTGATTAGAAGTCATTGCCGACAACACCGTTCATTGACAGTGGCTGGTCGGAATGATGGGAATGGGAAAAATGAACCATACTCATGGGAAGCTGATAGTATATCCCATGATACCGCATTCCGAATAGTCCAACTTCGAATGGGCAATGCTTACTGCTGGGCAGTGATGTCATACTACAACTGCTGACAAGCAAAGCTCCCCATTAGGCCATCAATAAAAGGCTTTGCTCATTAGCGGTTCTAACATCTGATAGCAACAATATCGCAGTCTCTGGACCGAAAGATTTTAAAATTACATGTACAAGTACCATGGTGGAACTTCGTTCATGGCTTATGCCGAACTGACGAATCAAAGGGTACGTGTGCTGGAATTACACCGAAGAAGTGATATAACAACTCTACAGAGGCTTCCATCAAGACTCAGGAGTTTGGGCATTTCTGCAGCCTGATTCGTCTACCTCTTCCCTTCATTATATTAAGCATTGACCAATTTTCATATTTCCACAATGCCCGGCTTGTCGATTTACCTCATCATCCACGGGAGGCCATTTGATTGCGATATGAAAAAGATACGCAGAACTACCGTCATCAAAAGAGCAAGACGGGAGAAAGTTCAGGGAGAAAGAGTTCCGGTTCACCTGATATTGGCGATACAGTATAGTAGAAAATATCATTATGAAGAAGATATCATCTGATAAGATGAGGTAACCAACAATAAAGGGGAACTGAAGCCTGATAAAGCAACAGACATTGGATTCGCCTTGCTATACCTATATATAGTTATATCGGATATATGGCACGACCGCAGGTGGAGGCCGACGAAGGGAGAACGTCCGTTGCGCGCGTCCGTCGAAAGTAAGTCACCACGCCCACTCCGCGCGCGGCGCACCGCAAGTGAGGTCTTGACATGACATTACAGTACCACCAAGTGTCAGTGGAGTGAATGATTTGCACTTGTCCGTGTTATCCTCCCTTTTGCTGTCTGCTGTGGACCAAGCGCAAATCGTATACCCCACAGACAACTGCG